AATCGGCGGGTCTGGAGGATGTATTGGGCGCCGCGGCCGCTCCAGAGCGTTCCAGAACGCTCTGAGAGCGCTCCGGAAGCCAGAGAGCCGTCGTCACGAAAGACGGGAGCGGCTGATTCTGTGCAGGTGTTTGCCTTCTGGGGGCTCGCTTCGGGCTCTGGGGCGACCAGGAACGAAAACGACGACGACGACGGGGACGACGACGACGACGACAACGACGACGGGGGTTGCACGCTCCAGAACCCTCGCACAAAACACATTCGGGCAGTCGGAGGATCGGGTGGAGGCACACGTGCCGCTGCCGCGCCCGCGCGTGACACGGCCTGGTGCCTCTTCTCGTTGTCGCCGTCGTCGCCGTCGCCGTGGTTGACGTCTCTCGACGGCCACAGAGCCCGAAGCGGGCCCCCAGAGGCAAAAAACCTGGACAGAATCAGCCGCTCCCGTTTTTCGTGACGACGGATCAGTTTCTTTCAGTTTAAAACAAAGCTAGGATCGGGATAAATCGCTCCAGAGCGTTCTGGAACGCTCTGGAGCGGCCGCGGCGCCCAATACATCCTCCAGACCCGCCGATTCTCAGAGATTTCGAGTTATCCCGATCCGATTTTGGCCCGATCTTCGCGTCGCTTTACAGTTTCCTGGCAGGGCGATGGGCCGGGACGAAACAGAGACGAAACAGCCTAAAACCAAGACGTAGAATAGCTCTGGGATAGGTTTTTAAGTCGCGTGCTGTTTCCTAGCTCTCCTGGAAGGTCAGGGTCGTGACGACGGATCAGTTTCTTTCAGTTTCCTGGCAGGGCGATGGGCCGGGACGAAACCGCGGCGGTGCTCCCGACGTGGCCATGGCGCTGCGCACGCCGGCCGCCGGCCCGTCGCCGGCTGCCCTTGGCGGGGCTGCCGAGCGCCGCTCCCCGCCGCCGCCGCCGCGATGGCGACGGCGACGACGACGACGACTGCGGCGGCGGCGGCGTCGTTTCGCCGCCCCAGGACACAAGCGAGAGCGAGGTCTTGGGCGCCTGAGTTATCAGGGGTAACTCGGGTCCGGGGTAACGCGGGCTTGGATTCCCGAAAAACGAACCCGAGTTAGCCCTGACCCGAGTTACCCCTGATGATTTAGGGCTATGGGCGCCCGAGTTATCCGGGGTAACTCGGGCCCGGGGTAACGCGGGTTCGGAATCCCGAAAAGCGAACCCGAGTTAGCCCTGACCCGAGTTACCCCTGATGATTCGGGGCTCTAACCCGAGTTACCCCCGAGTTAGCCCTAACCCGAGTTAGCTGGTCCCGCGGAGCAGGCGCGAGAGCGCATTCAGAGTGTCCAACAAGAGCTGTTTGGAAATCCAGATTCAGCAAGGAGTCGGGAGGCGTCAGGGCCTCCTGGGAGTCTCGAGAAAAAGCGGAGACATTCCGAGCGGGAACGTCGTTGTTTGTAAGGGGTCTTGAGGCGGGAGCGCCGGTCTTGAGGTGAAAAGCAGGGAGGAAGTATCGAGCGGGAACGCCGATGTTGCTGGAAAGGCGGCTTCGGGGGACGAGCACGAGCCCTGGCCCTGACTGTGAATCAGCGTGGACGCCAAACTATAACTGGTTACATTCTGGATGGGTAAACTTTGAGGAGAAATCATATTGTACAAGCTATGTAGTGCACGCTAAGAGGGACAAGCTACGTGGTGCACTCTGTGTGGTGCAATATCCGTGATGCAATATGCGTGGTGCAAGCTGTGTTGTCCATATGTGGTGCAGGCTACGTGGATTGAGCTGTGTGGTGCAATATACATGGTGCAAGGTATGTGGTGTGAGCCATGTGGTGCAAGCTATGTGGTGCAAGCTATGTGGTGCCACCTGCGATGTTTAAGCTATGTCGTTCCACGGTGCAATACATGTGGTGCAAGCAAGCTACGTGGTGCAATGTGTGTGCGGTGCAAGCTATGTGGTCCAAGCCGTGCTATGCGCCCCGTGATGTGGAACCCGCGTGGCGCAATCTGCGCGGTGCAAGCTGTGTGCTCCAAGCTATGTGACGTGACCTAAGCAGCGTGACGTCGGTGGTGCAAATTGCGTGGTGTAAGATATGTGGGCACGGGGCCGCCGGGCTAGCAGCTGGGCCATTCTTGGGAACGAACGTGGCGGCGACGGACGGGAGCGAGGCCGCGAGGCCCGCAGATGGGCCCAACTCCGTCGGATTATGTCGTGACCATCCGACTTGAAGACCACATCCCAGAAGTCATTTCGAGCACCCAGAAAAGTATCAAAAGGATGTCGGAACAGTGTCCGGCGAGTGTCTCCCAGGGCCCGACACGTGACAACCCTTGAGGGTCGGTGGTGCTTTGGGCGCTCGAAATTCTTCCTGGCGAACAAGGCTACAGTACGTTGGACCATCATAACCGTAGAAGAGAAGTGAGGAACCCCACGAGCAAACACTCGTTCAATACTTTGTGTGTATATATGCGTACGAGAATGAGAGACACAATAAGAGAAAGATATAATAATAATCCGCCGGCCCCCTTGTGGGGCCACCAGGCTGTAGGCCCGTGATTCGCAGTTTCCTGTACCAGTTGTAGTTTGTAGTTTCCAGTCTTACAGTTCTGCTTCTTGCTGGTTACTGTAACTAGTTGATTGACCGCGCGAGGGGAGGGAGGCCCAAACCAGATTTTTTAGCACCCCCTGGGCGCGCTGTCTGAATTGCTGGGGGGGCTCGAAATCGACACCTCTCACGCAGATCCGCGGGGTCAGGGTCCAAAAACACAAGGGATTTGCCACATTTCTGAAAGTCGGTGCCACCCCTCACGCAGATCCGCGGGGTCAGGGTCCAAAAACACAGGGATTTGCCACATTTCTGAAATTCGGTGCCACCCCTCACGCAGATCCGCGGGGTCAGGGTCCAAAAACACATGGGATTTGCCACATTTCTGAAATTCGGTGCCACCCCTCACGCAGATCCGCGGGGTCAGGGTCCAAAAACACAAGGGATTTGCCACATTTCTGAAATTCGGTGCCACCCCTCACGCAGATCCGCGGGGTCAGGGTCCAAAAACACATGGGATTTGCCACATTTCTGAAATTCGGTGCCACCCCTCACGCAGATCCGCGGGGTCAGGGTCCAAAAACACATGGGATTTGCCACATTTCTGAAATTCGGTGCCACCCCTCACGCAGATCCGCGGGGTCAGGGTCCAAAAACACAGGGATTTGCCACATTTCTGAAATTCGGTGCCACCCTCACGCACATCCATCGCAAGGCGTGGTAACCCAAACTGCGAGAACTCCCTCGGCCCTTTAATCGCAAGGTGTGGTAACCAAGCCCGTAAACCATACACGTCTTACCAATCGCCAGGTGTGGTAACCCCTCTTGTGATCAGTTAGTTTTGCTGATTGCGAATCGGCTTCGCATGAAGTTTCGATACTGCTTCACGACAGCGCCAAGGCCTCATGACTTAGCTCTTCCATGGCCCATTCTCCGAGAGGGGGCCGGCGGCAGGGGGCGAAGCCCTTATAAATAATCAAGACCGAACAAATGATATGCAACACAATTCGTGCCCAACCCCGTTCCCCATTCCCCGCCGTTCGTCCACAAAAGGGCGGAGAGGGACGAACCCTCCGTCGCGAGACTCCTGCGAGATCAACGCCGGGAGCAGATGGGCCGCGCTTGTGTCAACATGTCCCCCGCCCCTGCGTCCTTCACACCATCCATGTCTTACATGGCTGCATTGGCGCCCCGATCCGAGAAAGGGGGCAGAAAAAGAGAAACGGAGAGAGATAGAGAGAGAGAGAGAGAGAGAAAGAGAGCTGGAGAGAGTAAGTGAGAGAAAAAAGAGAAAGAGAGAGAGAGAGAGAGAAAAAAAAAGAAAAAGAGACAGGAACAGAGTCAGAGAGAAAGAGAGAGAGCACGCCCTTGTAGCCAGCCTTCATTTCGGCTTGGGGATAATTTTGGAGCGCAAGCAACCCGAAATACCTGAGCTCATTGAAATCGCCGGCCCCCTTGTGGGGCCACCAGGCTGTAGGCCGAAGCGTCGCAGTTTCCTTTACCAGTTGCAGTTTCCAGTTTCCACTGTTACAGTTCTGCTTCTTGCTGCTTACTGCCTGCTTCTTGCTGCTTACTGTTCCTTGTTGATGGACCGCGCGAGGGGGGAGGCCCAAAACTGGCATTCTTACCAAGCCCTGAGCGTATGCTCTGAATTGCTGTAAAAATTGACACCCCTCACGCAGATCGACAGGGTCAGGGTGCAAAAACATATGGGATTTGCCACACTTCTAAAAATCTGGCGGCACCCCTCACCCAGATCGGCGGGGTCAGGGTCAGAAAACACGATGGACTTGCAACATTTCTGACATTCGGTGGCACCCCTCACGCAGATTGGCGGCGTCAGAGTCGAAAAACACAACGGATGTGCAACATGTCTGACATTCGGTGGCACCCCTCACGCAGATCGGCGCGGTCAGGGTCGAAAAGCAACACAGATTTGCAACATGTCTGACATTCGGTGGCACCCCTCACGCAGATCGGCAAGGTCAGGGTGCAAAAACATATCGGATTTGCAACTTTTCTGACATTCGGCGGCAGCCGTGACGCAGATCCGTAGGGTCAGGGTCCAAAAACGTAAGAGATTTGCAACATAGCGGTACCCCTCACGCAGATCGGCAGGGTTAGGGTCCAAAAACACAAGGGATTTGACACATTTCTGAAATTCGGCGGCACCCCTCACGCAGATCCGTAGAATCATGATCCAAAGACAGAAGGGATTAACCACATTTCTGAAATTCGGTGGCACCCGTGACGCAGATCCGTAGGGTCAGGGTCGAAAAACAAACAGGTCCCGAAACTGCTTCACGGCGGCGCCCGGACCTCATGATTCAGCTGTTGCATCTCCCATCATCCGAGACAGGGGGCCGGCGGCATGGGGCGAAGCCCTTACGGATAATTGCGTTGGTTGGCTCATTGGCGTCACAAAACTTGTAGATATCAACGCCACGACCCCAAATTCAATAAATGCTTGAGCTGTGTCAAGATGCGCGGTCCTGCACAGAGCCTGCTTTTTGTTCTGGTCGATGTAGTGAAACAGCCTCGCGCCGACATGTCAATGAAGAAAGCCGCAATGATGGTGACCATTGGTACGCAAACAACCACAACATTCCGCGATCAAACCAAGACTCGATATTGCTTGGGACGAGGACGAGGCGACGATGATGCATACGACGTTCAAGCCGACGACAGAGATACACATGATGATGCTGATGCTGGTGTTAAGAACGATGCGGCATACGCGAGAAATGCAAGATGAGGGGCGCGGGGTGGAACGCGAGAGTGCATGCGAAGGGGAACTGGAATACGAGGGTACATGCATCAGATTGAATGGGTGGGTGATGCTACGTCGGCGCAATATGATTGCGAATAAGATGGCGCAGGGGATCCGAACAGGAATTGGAACACTTTTGGGGCGCCACGCATCCCTCCAAACAGCGCGCAGCAGAGGGCACCTACCTTCTCCGTCTGGAGGCCAGAGTTATGCCTGCGCGCAGACTGTCCGCGCTGAGGGCTGGGGACAGCACGCGACCAGTGGCGCACCCGACGAAGCGCAACCTGTGGCTGCCGCCATCAAAGTCATCATCAGGGAGAAATGTCGCCTGAAAGGTGCACCTAAAATCAGCGCGCAAGAAAACTCACCGCCTGAGGCCACCCATGTGGGCGGAGACCTAGGAGACCCAGTCCCGTCCCAATGAAGGCTTACCTGGAGCACCGCCCTTGCCTCTGCCTGTTCCCCTACCACGGCGCGATGGTTGGCGAACAAGCTACGCAGCATGCCCAACTCCAAGAATATTTTGAAACCAGGCAGTCGGAGGGGTGGGGGTTCAGAGGGGGCTCCAGGCCAGGAGTGGGAGAGAGAACGACAGGGTCGATACGGGCGGGAGGAGGTGGCTCGGTCGGAAGTTCCCTGCACCCACCAAGCAGCGGCCCCAGAAACGCTACCCGCCTGCATCTGTTGCCTCACCTTCGAACTGGTTCCAGTCGAAAGTTCCAAGAGTACCCCGAATCACTTGGCCACGCATGTCCGACAGCTGCCGCGCCGCGCGCGCGAGCGCTAGCGCCATCGAACCGGGGAACCCACCACTGAGAAAAACACTGCGTCTTCACGGCGTCCGTCTGGCCGCCGGGCGCCCTCCTCGAGCTTCTTCACGCGCTAGCACCCCGCCGTTTCCGCCAGATCCCCTGGCTGCTCCACGTGCGCAACTGTGGCCCCCATCACTTACGTGACGCCGTTCTCTCTGATGGTAACCCCTTCGCGTCGGTCTTGTCCGCCGCCGGCTCGACCGCGACCCCGGGCGCATTCCCTGGTCACGGAAACTCGCGTTGCCATCCTTGGTGGCCTGATTCCACCTCTCACTTTCCAGGCTTCGGTGCGCGACCGCCCCCCAGAATAGCAGCAACAACTGATCATCGAACTTGCGGGATACCCGATGGCTTCGACCGTGCTCCAGAACAGCCCGAATGAGTTGGGACATGTATTCGCTTGCGCACAACACATGTCCCGGATACCGAAGGTCACGATGAAATCGTGGAAAGTCCAGCGCAGCTTGATTGCGAGGATACACTTCTCCGCGTGAGGTGCGCCCTCCTGTTCCCTTCAACGCTGCAGACACCGCGCGCCACTTCAATGCCCACTTCCTTCTCCACCCCCGCGCCCCTCTCCGCGACAGCGGGCCTTCGTGGATAGCCAGGGGGAAGCATTGCCGCCGCGCGAGTACGACGCCCGAGGTGGGCAACCGTGAGTTTACGCGAAGTCGTGCCGAGCTCCCGATCCCACCAGCTGCAAGGGACGAGCCCCACTGCCGAGCGAGCGCACCCTCGCCGTCTTTTCCACTTCGCTCAGGGGCTCTTCGTCCGAGCAGAAGAACCCCACCTCAAGATTCACGCAGGCTGTGATACGATCCGCACAATCATACTGAAGCCTGCCGCCAGTAAAACGCTCACCAAAAAGTGCCGCGTTAATCTACACGTGCCGCTTAGGGAACAGGCTGCACCGGCCATTTCAAAAGTCTGACTCGAAGCTCCAGAAAAGCTGGGGTACGCTTCCAATGTCTAAAAGATACACAGTGTTTTGCACGCGTGCATCTCCATCCCAAAAAGGCCAACCTGTCATGACGAATCTAGAATGCTCAGCGAAAGCCGTGTCGGTGCGCTTGCATTGACCTTCCGTCACGAAGTTTGACTCCACCTCTCATACGCCAGCATTCTGAGTTCCCATAGGCCATGGGACCTATCGCCTTAACAGGCTCATCGCCAGTACACCAAGCCTTCCCAATATGGTGGGGTGATGTCTGCAGCGCAACAATCCATGTAGACACCTCCTCCACGATGGCCCCGGCGCGCATGAACGTGACCGCCCAGCACACGCACAAACGGCAGCACGCCGCCTGAGAGGAAAGGTGTCCGAACTGTGCTCCTGCTCCTGAAAGAAGCTGAGCAGGCGGGTGTGCCGGGGGAAGCCTCGGGAGCCCCGCTGCCCTCCCGGGGAGCTCGGCGACCGAGGGAGGGAGAAGCAGAGGAGGAGGAGGAGGAGGAGGAGGAGGCGAACCCTGGGCAGAAGGAGAGGAGGAGAGAGGAGGTTGGCAGGGAGAGCCCTGGCCGACGAACGGAACCATCGCGTTCTTCGGGCCGCTTCGTTGCACCCACCCCCTCCCGCGACCAAGGCCCCGCCAAACAGCATGTCGCGATGCTCTGTCTGTCAGCGGCGCGCTCGGAGAGGCCTGCGTCCAACAGAGACACGCCGGGACCACATGCGATGTGCTGCGCACTGGCGATGCCCATTGAGAGCAAGACAAATAAATACCTCCCCAAACCCACCAGTAGGACACTCGACCGGAAAAAAACTCTTCCATGGCATGTGTTTCCTTCCGCGTCTAGTCCAAGAATTCATCGGGCACTCGTGCACGGTGGCGGTTGCCAGCTGCAAACAGGCTGCCATCAAGCGCAACACAGCGCGGGCAACCAGCAAGCTGCCGATGACGAGGCAATTCAAAAAACCGTGACTGCACGACAACGATGCAGACCAAAGATCTGACTTTTCGCTTCCAGAAGCAGAATCTGAATCACCATCATACCCTCCTTCTGCCGACCCCAGAAGTCCATTATCAAAACGCTCAAAATATGTGCGGGTTGACGCCCGCGCATCGTTCCAGCAGGCGACGCGTTTCAAAGAGGGACAAGGGAAAATATGGCACCGTTTCCCGGAATACCTGGGACCAGTGTCTTCGGAAGTGCAGGCCCGAAGCTGCGATCCCAGCGGTGGGAGAACAACGGGCGAAACGAACCCATTGCAGACCTTATCATACGAAGGTGGATCATTTGTTCATTCCACAGACACGCCAAAGACTGCATAACTCCGAACGCCGGGACAGTGATGAGGCCCAACATGTCCGCGGGCAGTCCACGGCGGGCAAGATTCTCCGTTTGGGTGCTCGCCTGACACGTTTGCACATAAAAGCCAAGTCCACCTTCGCATTCACGGAAAACCACATATAATACCCTTGCATTCCCGCCTCCTGATAGAGGTCCTCCTCCTTAACCTTCTACAAGTATGCACTCATCGGCAGAAAGTCTGTGTAGAAGCCTTGCCACGGCAGGCGAGTATTCTGTGTAGGCGGCGCGCCTCAGTTTCACGATCTACCTCTCCGAGCTTCATCGAACTCGTCGGTGATCGCATTACTACAACATCGGTACTGACTCCTCCGCATCTTTGTACACTCCTTGCTGACCATCCGCAATTCCACCTTTACCTCCTCATCGGTGTCTGTCTTCGCCAATCGCTGGAGCAGAGCTAGAGCGCGTTGCGGCAGAAGACAAAGCTCTTCAGCTTGCCGACGTTAACTGTCGAAACTGCTATCAAATTTGCCACCAAACAACTGAACAACCTGATCTTGCAAACCACGCTGATCGAAGTACAGATCAAACCTGTCAGCCGGAAGCGCGTGCTTCAACTCACGAGCGCATGTGTCCATAGTTGTCGTAGAACGCTCCAATGAAGTGTGTCAGGCCTCCAGGGGCCTCATCGCCTCCAAAATCCCGAGTATCCGTTGCCGATATAGCGCTTTAGTTGGCACAAACTCCCTCCAAAACCTACAGTCCGTGAAGAAGAACACGGTCCCGAAGATGCGTGGAGGGATTAGGCTGGCGTTTGCGCATGAGCCGCTTGAGAGGCCCTCCCGAGGCAACCATATCCACAGCCTAAGCGGGTCCAGAAATATAGTTGGCCCGACTGCTACAAACCTCATTGCCAGACCAGGTGTCTTCCAGCTTGTCGCGAAACCCCCCGATGGGAAAACCACACATCGCAAACTCATCAAGAAATTGCCGGAAGAATTCTCCAGATCCGCCAGCAATCTGATCTTTAGATGCTCTGTTCTCCAAAACGGTGTTTGTGTGGTCGTACGCCCCGTTCCCCCTTGATTTTCGAAGCCGGAATCAATCTTTTCCATCACTCAAGCCTTGTAGCCCGCGGGAGCGAGGACAATGAGAGCCACAGCTGCGAGACCCACGCTGCCATACCGCTTGATTCCAACGCCCAGTCCACGACCAGCCAAGGCAAGTGGTGGAAGCCAATGCCGCACGAGATGAGCTTCGCGAAGCCCCGCAGCTGGGGGCGATGGCAGCCCCGTGGTACGATTGGTGAACGAGCCGCTCCCGTAGCCCGCCTCCAGCAGCAGGACGCCGGGCGACGAGAGGGCTGGCGGGCGACACGCGGGAGTGAATGCCGACGAAGATGCTCACGTGAAGGGACATGGCCGTCGTCGTGATCGCCTCTTCCCGATTTTCCCAAATACTGAAACAAAGAGGATTCCAAGACGAAGTGCAAGAACACCAGCAAAAGGCATGAATATGGCCACGCACGGCGCAGTGACCGTCTGGCCGAGTGCAAAATACGGTCAGCAGAAGTATGTGCCTGCATTACATACGGAGGGTGGGTGGGGGGGGCGATCGTGTGTGACTCGCTCCACAGGTGGCGAAGGGAAGACACGCGGATGGAGATGACAACTATGACAAGGCTGGATGGAGACGAAGAGCACGGGAGATGACGACGAGAAGGGAGACGGATGAGGACATCACGGTATGACCTGGAGACAGTGGGAACGGGACGGATGCCGCCACCACGCCGCGACGCGCAGCCGTGGAGTGTCCTCCGCTGATTGGACATGTTTGGTGGCGCCTGAGCACAGGACGAGAGAACGGACCCGACACTCCGAGGACCTCCTCCTCCTCCTCCTCCACCTCCTCCCTCCTCCTCGTCCCTCCTCCCTCCTCCTCCTCCTCCTCCTCCCTCCTGCCTCCTCCTCCCTCCTCCTCCTCCTCCTCCTCCTCCTCCCTCCTCCTCCTCCTCCTCCTCCTCCTCCTCCTCCTCCTCCTCCTCCTCCTCCTCCTCCTCCTCCTTCCTCCTGGAGAGGGGGGGCCGAAGATGGAAAAAGCAATCATCCTTCCGCTTCGGCGTCCGAGGGCCCGCTTCGGGCCAAAGGCTGCCAGAGAATCAGGATGGCCTTCCCGCCCCGTCACGGAAGATGCTCATCTGGATGCCCATCCCCGCGCTGAGGGATGCCCATCAGATGATGGCCTGGATGCCCATGCACCAGAAAATGCCTGCCGTTGAAGTGCAGGCCTGTGCTGGGCCGCCACAGGACGGCTGAGACCTTGCCATCCCGCGTGTCGCAGAAGACCCCTCGGAACGCATCCTGCCTACCCCTCCGAACGTTAACTCTTGAACAGCACAGCGGGGATCAAGACAACACCAACGAACAACCCCCCTTGGACAAGCCACCCCAGGATCTTCCATAATATATATATGTGTGTACATATATATATATATATATATATGTATCGAATCCCTGTAGGTCACGCTCCTGACAAATCAGCAGGGGCTCTCAATTCGAAAAATACCTGCAGCCAAAAAAGAGCCCCAACGGGGCGGTCCGATACCCTCACCGGCGAATGGAACCAGAAATCGGGGGCGGCCAGGAAGGGGGCGTCCAAGAGAGTTGGGGGTGCAAATCATGGCCGGCGGCACGTCTGCGGCCCAGGGGGGGGGGGCCAGGGGCGCAATGGAATGAGAGGAGTCGCCATGAAATCTGGAGAACTATCATGGCCCACGCCATGAGATCTCCCCCCTAGTCCTCACCCCCCGCTGTGCCCTAGTCCTCACCCCTAGTCCTCACCCCCCTCTTGGCCCGCCATGAGATCCACCCTAGTCCTCACCCCCCTCTTGGCCCCCTAGTCGTCACCCCTAGTCCGCTGGCCCGCCATGATATCCCCCCCCCTCGTCCTCACCCCCCTCTTGGCCGCCCCCGGAGAAAGGCAGGGCTCGCGAGTGGCCGCAGACCCACAGCACCGATGCCGCGCGGGGGCTCCGCCCTCGGCGGAGCATCGGCCGTGACCGGGCCAAGGACGAAGTCGGACCTGTCCTTCTACAGGAAGGACATTTCGGGGACGTGCAGACCTCCCTTTAGTAAAACGTGGTTTAGTGAAAACGACCTGAGGCCCAGACCTGGCGGGCGCAATCCTGGAAAATAATGGCCACGGCGCCCTCTCGAAAACCGAAAACGGACAATTCACTAATCGACGTGTCACTGTTGGGGGTTCTGTCCACCCTCGAATATTCAAGAATAGTAAAACAAAAATCTGGGGACGATTCTTTGACTATTGTTGCCCATTTGGGGTGTATGTTTTTCGTACGTTTGATTTTTCGCCCAGAATCCCCCTTTAGGGGGACACTCCCGACTTAAGCCAAGGACCAGGCTGGCAGATCGCAAGAGCCGAAACATCGCTCGCAGAGACCTCCGCGCATCCTGGGACTTGCTGCTTCATGTCTGCCAGAGAGATGGGCGCCGCGTATACTCGGGGGGCGGCCAAGAGGGGGGGGCGTCCAAGAGGGGGGGCGAAAATCATGGCCCGCGGCATGTGCGCGGCCCAAAGGGGGGCCAAGGACGTAACGAAATGAGAGGAGTCGCCGTGAAATCTGAGGAAAGACCATGGCCCACGCGATGAGATCCACCCTCCCCTAGTCATCACCCCCCTCTTTGCCGCTCCCGATGTATACTTGGCTGCGCATATATCCTGAACACACCCCTGGGAGATGAGGCGTTCCCAAGTCATCCGAGTGCAGATGCAGATGTATGTCAAAAGCTACTCGGGAGGCTCAGCCTGACATGGTTCAGGAGGTCTAAGTTCTCGCGGTAGACGCGCTCGGCCAAGGTGGACATGGCGCTCCGCAAGCACTTCCTGGGTATGCCCCAACAGCTACCAGCTTCCTGGCGCGGACGGCACGATGAGAACTGACGGACGAGCCGCAGGCGAGGACGCATGCTCGGAGCAGCAACTCGGCGTTCCGAGCTGGAGGATTGGGCAAACGATGTGGAGAGCCAGGAAGGATGACGAGAGCAGGAAGATGAGCAGGACCAGGACCAGGAAGAGCAGGAAGAAGGAGTAGAAGCATAAGGATGGGGAGGCACAAGAGAAGAGCATGGGCAGCAGCCGCAACAACAGCAAAGGACGGGGGGGGGACAACAAGCGGGAGGCATATATGCCGCGTCCGCAGCCAGTGTGCCAGAGGCCAACCCTCGAGAGAGAGAGAGAGAGGATGCCCGTGAACCATTCGTGACTCAGCTGCTGAACCCGACCGGACAAGAACGGGGAACGCCTAGTCGAATGGGCGTATGTTGGCGGCGCGCACAAGGGGGTGGGGGGACGCGGAGGGCTTCTTAGAAGCAGGCTGCTTCTTAGAAGGCGCCAGCCTCACATCTACAAATAAGGCCCGCGCCTTCTAAGAAGCAGGGGTGCTTCTAAGAAGCCCTCCCCCCTCCCCCCAGCCCCCTCTGCGCGTGGCTGAGTATTGGGCGAAGAAGCGACAGAAACGGAGGGCGAGGGCGACGAGGAGGCGATGACGAGGACGACGTGGAGAACGGGAGGAAAGCTGGGAGGAGCATGAGGACAACGAGGAGGAGGAGAAGCACAAGGACGCGACCGACGAAACGAGGGCGAGTACGAAGAGGAATACGGAGGACGATGACGACGACGACGACGACGGAGGACAGTAAGAGGCAACTGGAGAAGGACGTTGAATCAGGAGAGGGTCCTGGTGACCCTATCGGGCTGCCTGGGGGTTCCCGGCGCCGCGCGGGGTTGTCTTGGGGCCTGCTGAGGGCCTCTTGGGTCTTCTTGTGGGCTTCTGGGGTCTTCTTGGGCTCCCTGTTGTTTGGGAGCTTCCTTGGGCCCAACATGTCCCACTAGACTCACTAGACGGGGCTTCAACTCAGCCCCCCGTCAAGGTGTTCAGTAGGAGTAGGCGATCGCAAATAGAACCTGCAAAACGTAAAGAGAAAGATCAAACGCAACACGAAAGACGAAAGGGGTAGGAATTATGACGCTAGCCATAAAATAATGATGCCGAATAACCCCTGAAGCTTGGAAGAAAGAAACCAACAAACCACTGAAAGTATAGAGGCGCACAAGAAAAAAACAAAACGCCCACTACCTGCACACAAACACGGGCAACCAATCCTCGTCGCCGGCTACATTGATGTGGCATACGGGCTTCGGGTGTACAGACCAATATCTTCCCGTGTCCGGCCCAGGAATGCAAGGACCGCTTGTTTTGTCGTGTCGCCCGCGAAGCGGTGTGTATCCACATCCATACTGCAGCGAAAAGGCTCTGTTGACAGAACGATGAGTATGTGGCGCAAGACGTCTACGAAGCCCCGTCTCGACACGTCACAGGATCCCGTATGTTTTCTGCAAATTCCCAAAGTTGGCATATTTTCTCACACCCCGTATTTCGGGAGGGGGCAAAAACACACACACAGACACAATGAATCGTCGATTCCAAAGAAGAAATGGGAACATATGGGAAGTGAGGGGGGAGACGACAACCCAGAAACGATGAGACAACTTGCAGGGAATCCGGCGATGTGTATTTACTTGTGTCCCTGGGCCCCTTCAGCAATCCCTCTCAGGGTCCCCGCCCCAGCTGGCGGCCCATGTCCGTTCATCTAACAAAAACATCCAACATGAGGCAAGATGGCCTCAAGACCTCGCAATCCTCCTCCTCCTCCTCCTCCTCCTCCTCCTCCGTGCCCCCCACCGCTCCAGGACTCCAGGACTCCAGGGCTCCAGGACCCCACCGATGGCCCCCCAGAACTCCCCAAACGCTCCAGGACTCCAGGAAGTATCCGCAGCCGCCGGGCCCCCCGAGGAGGCCCCATGCGAGCCTCCAAGGCGCCGCTCCTGCGGCCTCCGAGACGCCCCCCCAAAAGCAGCCCCGCAGCGACCCGCCTCTGCCCGGTCTGGACGTGCACCCTGCGAACTGAAGCCGGCCTCGTCACGCACACCGCTGCCGCTGCTCCCCGGGCCTCTCCCGGGGCGCGTCCCGCGCAGGACCCCGAGGCGAGTCAAACGGATTGGGGATGGGTGTCGGCACACTCTTCTCAGCGGGGCGATCAGCCGCCTGGTCGGCACACGACGCAGCAAACGCCACGCACAGAACATGAACAGAGGGCAGCACGCTGATGGGCCGGAAGTCGAGATAGATGGTGTGCATGCGCGATCCGCGGCACAGGATGGGAAAGCTTAGAACGGCAATGAGATGCCCGACCTACAGAGCCGACCAGACTCAACTAGGGGAGCTTGGTTCCTCACCCACCTCAGGCAACCCATCGTATCGACAGTTTCCCCAGAGCGTGACGACGCCGACGGGACCCCCAGGGGGGCAAGGACCATAGCTCCCCACGCGTGGCAGGTCTGCGGGTAGCCGCGGCCTCGACGTCCACGGTCTCCCAGTGCCGGACGTTGTGCACCTCAGCAGAAGCACATCGTGGAAATGGGCAGCCACACCACTTTTCTTCACCGCCGTCTCCTCCTCCTCCGCCTCCTTCTCCTCCTCCTCCTCCTCCTCCTCCTACTGCCCTCCGCCTCCTCCTCCTGCTCCTGCTCCTCCTCCTCCTCCTCCTCCTCTGGCAGCGCACGCGGCGCTCGGGAGGCAGGGGGTCCACCCCCACCGCCCTCCAGTCGGGGCAGCTCCCTCGGCACTAACCACGCGCTCGGCACGCCCAACCGTGTGCGACACGCGGTGATCTTCGCGCTCTCGAGCCGCCCCCCCCTGGAGAAGGGCAGCCGCTCTGGCCCGGGCCGTGACGCGCGAGGCGCGACTGTCTTCGTGCCCCCACGAGTGTCGGCGGTGGACAAACCTCCCTTCAGTAAACCTCCCCATAGTGAAAACGGCCTGGGACCGAAACCGACGGACCTGGGCCCGCAAAAAATGACGGCCGCGACGCCCTCTCGCGAACCGAAAACGGCCAATTCCTTAATCGACGTGTCACTGTTAGGAGGTCTGTCCACCCCCAAGAGTGACCCAGTACCTCGCTGTTTTAGTGTGGCAGCGTCAAGGTGCAATGACACCTAGCGCTGAGGGTCAATTCGCCGGCTGGACTCTTCACACATCTCGGGTCTCGAGCCGCAGATGGCAGCATGGCGCGAGCGATCTACAATCGAAGAGCGGGGACAGCTGGGGTCAAGACCACTTAACCCACCCGATCGTAGCATGCGGAAACGCTGAACAGAATTGATCCAGCCCGGAGGGCACCGAAACACGGACGAAGGAAACGCAGCGCCGCCTCTCGACGACGACGGCAACGCCATTGACGACGGCAACATCTGCGACGACGACGTTGACGACGATGCGGCGCGCGTCGGAGAGGACGAATCGACCGTGTGAGAAGGGGTGGACGAAAGGGGGAAGACTGGTTTAGAGGGAAGGAATATGGACGCTGATCGGCGCTCCATTGACGCCAATCGACGCTAAATCGGCGCTCAAAACTCGTGTGATTCGCTACCGGATTCCCCCCTTTTGCGTTAGGCCGGGCACGTCCTCCTACAGGCGGAGTGTTGAGAACAAATGAAACTTAGTCGAAAATCACACCCAAACAACGAAACACAGATATTCACACAATTGTCCCCGGACTATGTCTGGACTATTTTGGGATACTCCTCCTGTAGAGGGACATGCCCCACTTACCCCTTGCGGCGCCTCTGAAGGACATGCCGACCGAGCGAGGCGTGAAGCGCCGAGCAGCGAGGGAGGACCTCCGCGGACCTGGGCGGTTTCCCCCGGAGCCGTAGGCGACCCGAGGAGGGGAGGGCGAGGAGGGGGAGGGGGAGGAGGAGGAGGAGGAGGAGGAGGAGGGGGGAGGAGGAGGAGGGAGGAGGGAGGAGCGAGGAGGAGGAGGCGGAGGAGGAGGAGGAGGATGGATGGAGGGAGGAAGGGAGGAGGGAGGAGGAGGAGGAGGAGGGAGGAGGAGGAGGAGGGAGGAGGAGGGGAGGGAGGAGGAGGAGGAGGTAGGGGGGAGGACGGGTCGCCCGAGCCCTTCGGAGAAGCCCTCCGCGCGCACCCGCCGCCGCGGCTCCCGGGCCGAGCGGCGCGCGATGGACACCTCTCCGAAGGAACTGCCCGCGACCAGCTCGTGCGGGGGCCCGGCGCCGGCCGAGGCTCGGAGGCGGCCGTCCTCCGGGCGTGTGGGCGCGGGGTGCTTCGGCGTTTCGACAGGGGGCGGAAGGGGGGGGGAGGGCCTCCTCCTCCTCCTCCTCCTCCCACTCATTCTCGTCCTCCTCTCCTCGCTCTCGTCCTCGTCCTCGTCCTCGTCCTCCTCATCCTCCTCCTCCTGGGGTCTGGCTCTGGACCTCTGCTCACCCGACGCCGGCCGAGGCTCTGAGGCGGCCGTCCCCTGGGCCTCTGGGCGTTTTTTGATTCGGATTCTGCGCTTCGACATTGGGTGAGAGGGGAGGGAGGGACGTATGGAAAAAAAGTCAGGGGGCCATGATACCCAGGAAGATGTTATGGCCCCAACCATGGTATCCGCCCCCCCCCTAAATGTCACCCCCGTTTTGGCCGCGCCTGAGCCGCCACGCTCTTCTTAGGAAGCAGCACGTGTGAGGTCGCCAGAACGGTACAGAGGGCTATGACACCCGAGCCAGAAGCAGATCAGGCTTGGCTATCAAGCCCGTGAGCACGTTGGTTTCAGCGGGATCCCTCATATTAAGCGGGATGAAATAATTAGGATTCAACGGGATGAGGCCAGATCGGCCAGATTCCAACCAGAGATGTACCAGCGCCGATGCAGAATGGAACCTCCCAGGAATTGCGTCTTATCTAGTTCTCGCCCTTGCCCCTCCCCTCGCCCTGAAGAGTAAGGGTCCTGATGGAGGTTCTTCGCCGCCCTTGGGCCCCCCGTGCCCCGCCCCCCCCTTGAAAGCTTCCAGACACGGCCTGCGCCCTCCTCCAATCCTGAGCCCTCTCCTCATTGTCCTCCTCGGCTAATCTGGGAAGGACATTCCCCGCCTTACTTCAAACTCCAACGTCCTCGCCCTCCTCCTCATCGACCTCGACCTCAACGACAACCTCCTCCAACGTCTCCCTCCTCCTGAAACGTCCTCGCCCTCCTCCTACTCCTCCTCCTACTTCTCCACCTCGGCCTTGTCGACACCATTCGTGGCCCGAACGAAGACCGAACGCCGTGCGCCAGAGTGCATCGCTGGCCTCGGGCTTCCCGAGTTGTGCAGTGCGCCGATGTGGAAGAAACGCCAGAGTGCTATACGAGCGCTTGCTTGGCGAACATAAAGGCGTCACGATTGTTTTGAGACCCTGGACTTGGAAACGACAAGGGCATTCTCTTGTACAATTACCAACAAACTTGATCTAGAGAAAGAACACCATAAACATACGGCTCGCCGAAACGGAACAGCAACAACTGCTCAAATGTTAGAACGGGGGCTGGAAAGGGAAAATCAAACACGGCGACGGAACCACGGAAAAACGGCGCTGGAAGCATAACAAACACGGGAACACGAAGATGGGGACAGCAACGGCACTGCCGCTTCCAAGAAACAATTCAAACCCTGGACTCAACTCAACTTATCCGAACTGTTGATCAAGCCCTGGCCGAGTCGCGTGCGTGAGAGGGACACTGTGCGCAACCAGAAGTACGTGCTCTCCTCCAATTTGTCCTGCTCCCTCCTCCTCCTCCTCCTCCTCCGCACCCTCCCTGGCGCTCCCTCTCAAAGCTTGTATGAAGCCGCTGGGCTGGGTCCTGACACGAACAAATCGACATCCTTACAAGACGCAGCCATGACACACACTCTGGGCTGTCATTGCGTTCCATGGCATGGTTCCAATCACTCCCGTGCGATCGGAGGACAGGACGGGAGACACGAAGACGGCGGATGCCATGACGCAAACCTGGACCATTGCCAAATACCCGGGAAACACCCGCAACAACCTGACACGATCTCGTGGGCGGACAAGCCACGCGCCTCTCGTGCGTTTGGCGCTTGGCGAAGTTACCCGCCCAGCAGCGGGCCCCACCCACGGCTGGTTGCTGCACGCAAGCTCAGACCGCAGCAAAATGGCCACGCCTGTCCTTCACCAAGAACAGGTGGGTGACGTACTCCCCTCTTCGAACCACCTGGGCGGCGCCGGCGGCGAACAAAATCTTCGCGACATTCAATCGTGCGACGGCATTCGCAGCCCGGTAGTCATGCTGAGCCACGATGTGGACGCCCAGGATGGATACATGTAGAAATTGGTACGATGCCCAGCCAGGGGTGTTGTCCACAACGGACAGCGGCCGCTGTTGGGCAGGCGGCCTGCTGTCCTGAAAAGTCCGTGGCGACACCGACAGGGAAACCTGTTCAAAACGAGCAGGAACTGTTCTCGGTCTTCGTGCCCATTCTTTCCCTGAGGGGTAACAGTGTGGGGGGGGGGACTGGCACAAAGGGGTGAACATCACCCTGGATTCGGCGGCGCATCGGCTATCGCGAAACGAAACGGTAAGCGAAAACGATAGTTGAAACACCCAATGAAACGGTAACTTCTTATTTGCTCGGCGACACTATTAACGGAATGGGGTCCCACCTGTGGGGGGATACGTGTTTCTGTTCCGCTGCACCCGCCGCGCAACAACGACGACGACAGCTACGACTACGATTGCGACGACGACGCCAATGACGACGCCGACGAAACAACGACTACGACTACTACTGCTACTACGGGTAATACTAATACTACTTGTAGTACTCAAACTACTGGTGCTGCTACTACTGGTGCTGCTACTACTACTACTACTACTACTACTACTACTACTACGACTACGACTACTACTACTACTACTACTACTACTACTACTACTACTACTACTACTACTACTACTACTACGACTACCACTACTGCTACACATACTACTACTACCAATACTAAAACTGCTGGTGTTACTAGCGTTCGTACGAATACCGGCACTACTACGACGATTGCGACTACGACTACGACTTCGACGCTTACGAGTACTACGAATACTACGAGTACTACGACTACTACGACTACTACTGCTACTACTACTACTACTACTACTACTACTACTACGACTACTACGACTACTACTACTACGATTGGGACGACGACTACTACTCCTACTCCTCCTCCTCCAAATACTACGACTACTACTACTACTACTACTACTACTACTACTACTACTACTACTACTACTACGACGACTACACCTACTACGACTACTACGACTACTACGACTACTACTACTACTACTACTACTACTATACTACGACTACTACGACTACGACTACGACTACGACTACGACTACTACTACTACTACTACTTACTACTACTACTACTACTACAAATACTACTACTACTACTACTACTACTATTACTACTACTACGACTACGAACGACTACGACTACGACTACTACTACTACTACTACTACTACTACTACTACAACTACTACTACTTCTACTACCGCTACTACTACTACTACTACGACTACTACTACTACTACTACTACTACTACTACTACTACTACTAGTACTACTACTACAACTACTACTACTACGACTACGACGACTACTACTGACTACGACTACCTACTACTACTACTACTACTACTACTACTACTGCTACTGCTACTGCTACTACTACTACTACTACTACTACTACTACTACTACTACTACTACTACTACTACTACTACTACTACTACTACTACTACTACTACTATTACTACTACTACTACTACTACGACTACTACTACTACTACTACTACTACTACTACTACTACTACTACTACTACTACTAGTACTTTTGCCAGAGGATCCAGGTCGCCAGTACGAGCGGCGGTGAGCGACAGCTCCTGGCCAAAATGCCAAGATACATTTTATCCCGATCCTTCGAGGGGCCTGTGACGAAAGACATGTCATGTGCACGATGTTTCCTGCCCTGGACGCACAGAAGACTCGCGCTCCTCCTTTCGCGCGTCTCATCAGCACGTGCAATTGTTTCCTTCGCTCGGTGCTCGATCTCAACCTGCTTCTGGTTGTGAAAGGCGCCCCTTCGGCCTGGCAGTGTCAACCGGGTGCGCATTCTGCGTTGTTCGCTGCGTCGTGCCGCGCGGCTGTTGGCTCGGCCACGCACTCCGCTCGGGAAATCAAACACTCCGAAAGAAATTGAGCACTTGTGCGATGTCGGCATACCTCACCATTGTCACCACTCTCAACACAATCCTGCGCGCCGCGGTCAATCCCACGCAGCCGGTCACGACGCCGTTCCCTGATAAACCCCTCGCAGACTGCAGGGCCACAGGAAGCCCCTTCACCAACTCGTGCTGCCTGGTCGGATCCAGCGCCGTGGTCATTCGATCCGCTACTCTCTCGCGGGTTGGCGCCTTCTTGGCGCGCGCCCCCTTGCTCGACGCCTGCGCCTGCAGATAGGCACTTCGCGCCAGGGTGCCTGACCCGGCAGAAGCCCGGCCGCGAGCAGATCCCGATCGCTGCCGCGCTATCGCCAGCTGCGGTCACCACAAACTCAAGCCCCATCTCCATGAACAGATTCTCGGTGAAGGCCCCCCTGCCAACTTCGTTCGTCATCTCCGCGCACTCGGCCCCGCCGCTGCCGAGCGCTCGCGCGGCCTTCTGCCCCGCCGAGCCGTCGATGCAAGCACCCCCAGCGCACTCGAAAACACCTCCCCTGCCCCCTTGAGACCTCGTCGCCAGCCCAATCGGAGTCGGTCGCGATCGGGGCGTTCGCCGTCATATCCTGGCATCGGCAGCGCCGTGCCACCTGCGGGTAGGTTGACATGTGCGCGGCCAGCCGCGTCAACTCCAGCTCGTGGATCTCCACCGGCTCACGCGCGCCGCGCAGGACCCAGCTCGTCGCGAAGTGGAAGCCTGGCCTGTCTGCGACCAGGTAAGGCGCCGTCGGCGCCGCAGACCGCAACGGCTGCTTTGCGTTGTACCCAAGGATGACGAACGCCGTCGTCGCATCCTTCCTGGCGCTGGCGAGATCTCTCTAGTCGAAAGCAGCTTGCCGTCCGTCTCCGTTACGGCGATCGCGCGATTCACGTCGCTCTCCCAGTGGAAGCCCTCCTCCGCCCAGATCGCAGTCCTCTTCGGGAACTTGCCGGGCGTGGCTTCGCCGCCTGCCTCCGCTGGCCGATGTAGGGCGACCTCTGCACCTCAAGCTTCTCCTCCAAGACCTCGTCGAGCCACTGCAGTTTGCGGCGCGTCGCCGCCGCCGCGTAGTCGTCGCCGCGCGCCGCCGCGGAGATGCCTCTCTCGATGTGGTGGAACGCCATGGCGGTTCCCTGCAGCCCTTAGCATTCAGAAATCCGATGGCCATGTGCTGGAACAGCGCGTTCGCGCGCCTCGCCCCGCGCGTGGCCTCCAGCAACTGCCGCGCCTCCTTCGGCTCACCCTCGACAGCGGGTGGGCCCGCGCAAACGACCTCGCCCGCTGCGATGCGGAAGAACGCGCTGCTGATGTCCCAAAGGCAAGCCAGGTAGATCCCCCAATTGCGCTCGGATCCGGCGGCCAGCGCGAGCGCGGGCCTCGCCAACTTCAGGGGAGGTGCGCCTGCGAAAGTGCCGCCCCTCACCCGGTGCGCCAAATTCATGTCCACGCACCTGAACCTCGTGGCGCCAGCCCCCCATATTTCAGTCCTGGGGCTGCTTGCCTCGCACTCGATTGCCAGTGGCCTCGCGTGCGTAGACCCGATTCAACACATTGTGCCCCTTCTTCTGGGCGCGACCCCGAGCTCGCCCTTCCCTCGACTTGTCCGCAAACAACGGCTTGGAGGACAGCGCGCCATCGACGTTGGACATGTCTGCCCCTATTCGACGGGCTCGGCGATGCACTCGCCGAAGTCCGCGACGCAGATATTGAGCGGCGCGACGCATGCGGGAAAACCTCCGAAACCGCGTGCCCTTTTGCTCGGGAATATCGCCCTTGCCCGAGACGCGCCTTTTGATGCCGTCGGCGATCTCGACGGGCCCATGCTCCATCATCGCCTCGTTCTCCTCCGCAGCCACAAGCGCCTCCGCAACGTCGTCATGCGCAGGCTGCGCGGGTGCTGAAAGGCCGCCGCTGCCGGCGGGGCTGGGCCTCGCCAGGCAGCCGACTGGGCAGCCTCAGGCTGACCCCACTTTTTGTTCGCCACTCGGGCTGGCCGCGGCGCCTCGGGTTGCGACCCTGCCTGCGCAAAAAAACCTTGCGCGACATCACCCGCGTCCACCAGCGCCCCCCAGCGCACCCTGCACTCGGCGGTGTGGCAATGGCCCGTCTCGTCACAGGCTGGGCACGCCGGAATCCTTCCGCGTCGTTGAAGGATCGCTTCGGTGAGGCACCTCTGCCTCAAGACAGGCTCCGCTCCGAGGAGGGTCGCCGTCGGTTCGAAGGGCGTGCGCGTGATCTGGCTGAAGAGGTTATTGTTCCACCTCTTCTCGCCGGGCCTCCTCGCGATGGGCCTTGCGAAGGCCCCTGTCCCTGGGCATGCCGGTCCTGTGTTCGTCGCTGGCGCTTGCCTTGCCGCGAACGTTGCGATCTGGCCGTGGTAGTCTCTCTTCGAATCGGCGGCGCGGCGTCAAGCCGTCCTCCCCCACGGTGAACCTCGCGAGGATCCAACCAGCGCGTCTCGCCATCCAGCTGCTGATGGGGTGGTCACTAACCTTCAGTTCCACCTTGTAGTCCGCGCTGGCTGTGTACACCATGGCACGAATCAGCCGCTGGGCGCGACCTCCTACAGCCTCGTGCGGGCCCCCTGCACTTCGAGTGGGGCCGCCGCCCTAACTGCAGGACCGCGTCCTCGCTGCGCTCCGCTGCGCCCGCCCTACCCCCAGCGCCACGATAGCGTTCGCTCTGTTGGTCGCGTGGCAACACGACGCGCGTGCGGCCCCAAAACTGGAAGCCTGGGCTTTGGACGCCCGACATGGGTACGGAAAGAATGGATACAATGCCCGACAACAAATGTTGCCCCAAACCAACAGCGGCCGCTGCTGGGCAGGCGGCCTTCTGTCTCGAATGGACACAGGCCGCGGCGGCGTGGACAGCGAGTCCTGTTCAAAATAAGCAGGAACTGCTGTTGGGCATTGTACCCATTTTTTCCGTACCCATTTCGTTCGTGC